CAAATGACTAAGATACAAAGACAGAAAATGCTTCTGAGGAAGAAAATGCAATGGAATACACTGTAAAAGAATACCAAACAATGATACTTAGGTACCTTCAAAGGACTGATAGAAAGATTGAGGAAAGCAAACACAATAAGAACTACAGATGAATTCAGGAAAACACTATTAAGAAAAAGCAGACAAAATAAATGTCAATTTGGAAATCATACAAACGGAGTCCTAGTGTGGTGCTATGGGTTAATACAAAACCGGTTTGAGTCCCAAGGTCGGAAGTTCAAGCTCACCAGCTACTCCTCAGAAACCCCATAGAGGGTAACTATGAGTTGGAACCGATTCAGCGGCACTTAATAATAACAACAATACTAAGATGTCAAAAATGGAAAATACATTGAAAGGGCAAAGGAAGAGATGTGAATCAGTAGAAACCCGAATTAGTGAGCTTGAAGATACATCTATCAATACTAGTATGCTAGAAGAACAATCAGAAAAAGAATGAAGGAATCCCAGGAAAGCCTAAGAGTTATGTGGGACACCATAAAGAGGAATAACTTACAGGTGATTAGAATTTCAAAACAGAAGACACAAGCACCGAGAAAACTGTTGAAGAGTTGATGGAAGCAAACTTCTCTAACATCACAAAAGTTGAGAAGACAAGCATACAAGAAGCTGAATAAACCTCAAACAGAATAGATCCCTAAAGAAAATAATCACGAAACATCATAATCAAATTTTGCAAAATCTAAGAACATGGAAAGAATCCTCAGAGCAGCTCAGGAAAAATGAAAAATTACCTACAATGGAGAACCAATGAGACTAAGCTCAGATTTCTCAGCAGAAACCATTCAGTCAAGAATGCAGTGGAATGATACATACAAAACTCTGAAAGAAAAAGATTGCCAACCAAGAATCATATAGCCAGCAAAGCTGTCCCTCAAATAGGATGGTAAATTAGGATTGTTTCTGATAAACAGAAATTAAAGGAATTTGTAATGGTCACACCAACCTTACCAAAAAAATTTTAAAAAGCTAAAGTGTGTTCTTTGGAGCTCTGGTAGCGTAGTGGTTACGAATCGGGCTGCGAACCTTAAGGTCAGCGGTTCGAAACTACCAGCCGCTCCGCGGGATAAAGATGAGGCTTTCTACTCCCGTAAAGATTTACAGCCTCGGAAGCCCTGTACAGGGTCGCTATGGGTCAGAACCGACTCGATGGCACTTAACAACAACAACAACAAAGTGTGTTCTTTGGATTAAGAATCAATAACAGCACACAATGATTTGAGATTACCACACACGACAACACCATCCAGCAATCAACCCAGATACTGATGAATTTAAAGTAAAACAAACCTACAAGACTGAAAATAGGGAAGCAGAGATATCAATGTCTAATGAAGTCAACTACAAAGTAAGAGGAGGGACTAGTGCAGATACAGAACTTCCTTCCATATGGCAAAGACGTCAAGTTGATTTCAAGATAAAATAGACTGCTTACGCAAGAAAAAACATGAATAAATTACAGGGTAACCTCCAAGAAAAATCCACCTGTTCATCAAAATGTAAAAACAAAAAAGAAAAAGATTCAGTAAACAGTAACACAACAGGAATGATAAATACAATGAAAACCCACACACAAAATGAACTCAGAATAGAAAATTATGCAGAACAAAGAATTTAACACCACCACAAAACAAACTAACAAAAGTAACACCAGTCAATCCATGCATATCTATTGATAATTATGCTGAATGTAAATGGATTGATTGAACCAGACAAGAAACATAAGGAGCAGAATGGATATGAAAACAGGATCCATCAGTAAGCTGTTTACAATACACATACCAAAAAGATGGAAACAACCTGAATGTCCTTCAGCAAAAGAATGGTTAAACAAACTTTGGCACATATATATACACAAGAGAATACTAAAAAGTGTTGAATACTGATGAATCTGTGAAACACCTCACAACACAGATGAAGGTGGAAGACATTTGCTGAGTGAAATTAATCAATCATAAAAGGGCAGTGTATGACACCAATGTAAAAAGTTTAAAAAAAAAAAAAA